TGGCACTGCATTTGGCGTGCAGATAAGAAGGGCTTTTTCTTGTATAATGGTCAAACAAATGTGTACGAGCTCATTCATCCATGAACTTTTTAGACAAAACCATCACCTTCGCCTTACTTCACATCAAATCCTTTCTTTTGTGTGAGAGCTGTGACGTGCTTGCTGCAACATTACTCTAATAAAAAGTTTACTAATCGTTTTATATGGAAATTTTTAAGATAAAAATACTCATGTCAAAATATTCAATTTGTTAAGGAAGAATAAGATATTGATGTGAACTTGAATATCATACTTTCGATCTTATAGAAAAATATAACGCACAAAAATGAAATAAATTTCAAAGTATATACACAAAAAATAAATGTATATTTGACAGAAAGGATGGAATTTTTACCCAAATCAAACTCAAAAAAATGAAATTTTTATCTATTTTTCTTGGGGTTCAATGCCAAGAAAATATGATAAATATGGTTAAGAGAACCATTTATAACACTGCCTTCATTTACCTGAGATAATTTATGCTAATTAAGGAGAAAATATAGAAAATGCAATGGTCTCCTTGTGGTTTTCTTTATTTTTTTAATTAAAATTAGCACAACTTTGTTTTTCATCAAAATCAAAAATAGTAAATAAAAAAGAATGGATATTTATAACTATGCTAACACATAGGGATATCCAAACTCAAAATTCTCATAGCATTTAATATTTTGCAAGGATATTAACGTTAAATTACCTTCCCAAAGAGGATTAAGAGCTTGTTCAACCCAAGTTTTTTTTGGGTGTATAATGAACAAAAACCCAAATGGCTATGCATCCATAAAAGAGCCTTGAGTATCTAAAGAAAAATTGAAGCTTCTAACCGGCTATTGCTTATTTTATTGTTTGCTTTGGAATCAAGCATATTATTATTAATACAAGTTTTGCAGGATCCATAATACAATCTATAGGGAGCAAAGGGAAAGAACCATGGAGCAATTGGCAAGTGTCTATCTACAATTATCATACAAACTAAGTTTTAAATGTTCATTGCAAGTCAAGAGATGACGATTAGAGCGAACACGTTTTGGACAACCAAGCCCAATTCAACTAGAGCTTCAAAATGAACTTTTGGCGTACTACTTTGTTTTGGTGCATTTAATGGTTTGAATGGACATGCTTCATTTGAGGATTTTGGCACCGGAACTAGCATTGACTTTCTCCATGGTGTGACTTTAAAAACTGCATTTGGGCAGCGTTTGATGATGGATTTTACTTGAAAAATATTCCTTCTTGTATATTATACACCCTTGGAAAAATGAAATAAAATCTCCCTCCCACAAAAACCTAAGATTTTGTATATTTGAAGTCTACAGCAGTGGGACACTTCTTTTGGGATTTTAGAATTCTTTAATGTTATAATTTGGTCCGGTTTCTAGCTTCTAATTGCAAGGACTCATACCCAAGATTTGAAATCTGAATTTGGTACTCAATGGCCATAACATTCCCGTGACCGATATGGTCAGGTTACTTACTTCTCGCTTTTAGGATTAAAAACTATCAACACAAACCAACATGAGTCTTCTAACACGTTTTATCCTCAATCACGTGTTTGCTACAAAAATTCTCGAAAGGTCACCCAATATAAAATGGCTCCAGTTAAATTCAGAGTTCCTACAGTTGAGCCACTAAAAAGAAAAGTGCACCTCGTTGATATAGATAGTAACTTTCAATTCTTTTTAAGCTTTTCTCAATCATCTATACTCGGGATTACTTTCGTTCGAATGTCATCTTTATTCATTCATGTACTCTCTTTGTCCGAGACTGGAGGCCACCCCTATGATATTAGAGATAGGTCATAATGTCCATAGCGGCTTCTATGTCTTCCCCTTTGGTTCTTATCTGGTGATATCCCGACCTTGTCGAGACGGTTTTTACTACTTCTCCAAAATAGCCTTGTAGTTTCATCTCATGTAGCCAACTTTCTTCTCAGCGAGACGTCTTGTTACGTGACTCGCTTAAGTACTAATACCCATCTGGGCTAAGTACGGGCTCTTTTGGGAGTAAGGGTCCTTACATGAGTTCTCTACATTCACCTAGGTTCACCCCTGTAGTATCTTTTATGACTGAGCTAGTCACATTTTCTCTCGTAGTGATATTTGACCACTGGCTTTTTTGAGCATGTGAACCTTTCAAGTTCTTGCACAGAATCCTAAGGAACTCTCTGAAAACTCTTGTTTGGTAGCTAGCCTCCCTCAAACTCTGAGGATACTACGTTTAGTGTCTTCTCTAAGACATCATGTCTTTACTATACATGTTTACAAGTCTCCATCTCACTATCCTTCAGGTAGTTTCCAAAATTACGTTGTTTGGAAGTTCTACCTCTACCTGAGAATGCTTCACAAGTTTAGCATTACACTCGTGTATGAAACTGAAGTTCTACTCTTTGTAGTCCAGATCACCTACACAAGGGTTGGTTCTTATTAACACCCATCTGGACTTTCTTCCTTCAGACAGCAAAGGCATGGCCATAGCTTGACCTCTTTTCTTGCTGTTCTCAACCCCGAGGTTCACTGACTACCTTGACAGTTCCACGTCCTTCACCTTGTGAGCATACATGCCCTGACCAAAGGATATGTTATAACACAATTTTATGGTCCTGATAACCACGTGTTGCTTTTGAACTTGGTCCTCTCCACCAAAGTCCAAAATGACTTGTCATCCATTAGGTGATCCTTTAGTAGGAATATCCTACACCCCACGACTCATTAGTGGTATAAAAGCGCACATCTCACTTATGGAAGTCCTTAAACCTTAACTTATATCATGAAGACTCCAACCAACCTTGAAGCCATGGCCTCCATAGCTTCACTCTCTTTGTTGGTGAATCTTATCTCTCGACTTCCAACTTAACCAAACTCACTCGTGAAAATGGTTTGCTTGAGGGGTGCTTAATTCCTACAGTGGTCGCCCTTACTTGTAAGAATGATGTTGTCTGGGTCTACTATGTGATCTCCACGGAGGCATGCTTGACATCTAGAATTATGGCCATGGGTGGCTGGGTCATAGGTATATCATCTCATACTGGGCCTTAAAAAGTCTCATGTACATTTCTATGTATTGGACGTCACGCACTCTGCAGAGTTACCTTTCTGTCTTCCTAAGGCTAGTAAACTAAAACAAGACCCCTCTCGGCCTCCTCACAATAACCCGAATCTAGTATCAACATATAGAGGGAATGTTCACTTTTAACACCCTAAAGTGTTAACCCAAAACATACATCAAGTTCTTACTAGCGTTACATCATATCATAACCTACTAAAGAAGGTTAGATTGCGTACCTGGTCGCGGCGAGGCATGTCGTCGAGCTGACTCATAGAGGTGTACGACTCTCTATCCTAGGAAAAGTCTACAGAATCGAAAACCCGACTACTCTGATACCAATCTGTCAGGACCTGACTTTCAAGGCTTCAAAAGACCGAATCGTGACTAAAAAGACGAAATCGAAAACAAATAAAAAAATAAAAAAATAAAATAGAAGGTAACAATCTGGAAAATTTTAAAACAAGAAAAGGAAATCAAGGACGCCAAAATTAAATATAAAATCAAAGTCAAATGTTACAAATAGGAATTGCAAATATAAAATGAAATACAAAAGACTCCAAATATGAAAACGAACGAAGGACTCTAAAAGACCGACAAGGGACTAACGCTCTGGAACGACACCCCTCTGTGACAGTGCAACTCTCGAACACCTTCCCCTATCGACTGGTACCTGAAAAAAAAAAAAGGAAGAAAGGGGTGAGTATAAAAATATACTCAGTAAGCAACCTACTTGTAGGCTCTTTTCACATCCTTAACTTAGTGGGTATACACGGTTTTATCTCTGGATTTTAGTGAGTGCAAATCATGCTACAACTCTCTTTTCTGTATCTTAAGAGGTTTGCCTATCTTATGCAGTGAAATGATCAGTGTCCTGAGGTGAGGCGCGACCTCATAAGTAAATCTGAGGGGATCATATGGCTGGATCTGAATATGTGACTCTCTCTGAACATCATCCGTGGAGGTTAGTTGACGACCCTCACATGGGACCATACATCCACTAAACGGGGTGCGACCCCCTGTGTGTCGGTCAGCTACTGAGTTATCCTACGTGGCTCCACGTCCCCTGCTCAGGGACGGGTTTCTACGGCCCAAGAAACCTGTTCAGAATACCCCTTAGCTATCACCACTAGGTCTGGGCACCTTTCACACTTCCCTATCCTGATCTGCCAAGCTCAACGATCTCCGTACCGGAGCTCTGTCTCGACGGTACGGTATCGGAGCAGAGAGGGAAGTGGAGGTTCTGATGACACTATCCACACTGCTAAACTCTAGCGGGCTACCTACAGTTACCGTGGTGACCTACTATTCTTTCTAGGGTGGAACTTGGTGGCTTAGACTTGGATTCATGCATCTTTAGGATTCTCGTGCAAGGACTCACAAACCTATCAGGTTTCGAATTTTGGGCTCTGGATCCGTCGGTAATCGTTTCGCGGGTCAAAATGCACGGTATTCTAGAGGTCCCCCAATCTAGGGTCTCATCTAGCCTACCTAGTCACAAATACCCTAATCTAAGCTCATAATTTCTCCTTGTTCATCAAGAAAGATAACACAAGCCATCATCATGCATAGGAGTTAACACGCAGCAGTTCATGCAATATTAACAAACATGCTCAACGGGAAGATAACGTCCACCTTTACCTGGAGCGCAGATTTCACAAGTTTTCCATCCTCCTCATGCATACATACTTTATCAGAATCTCAATCAAAACAGATTTAATAAATATTTCATATCTAGCTTTCCTTAATCATTTTATTTTCACAGTTTCCATACTAATATGCTAGGTCCGGCTAGCTAATTTTATGGGTGGTAGCATGCATGCATGTTCCTAGCGGTTCATACAAGTACTGCTCGTGGGAATTCAAATGGCTACTTACATGGTTGACGCGTTCCTTCCCAAGCTCGAATCATTTACCGGAAAAGGTTCCAAAAATTCTGGAATTTCCTTGATAGGTTCTAATTCACATAAAAATAGGATCAGAGTTGAAATCGAGGCAAAGAACAAGCAAACGGAGGTCGAACGGAGGGAAAACGGTCACTCACGCGCCTACAAGCGCGCTGACACGCTCTGGAGGGTGTACTACGCGTGACTTCCCACACAGTCGCAGGCCAGCGACCGGTCGGGCCAGTTCGAGTGGTTGGGACTCAGGCCGACCCGATTGCGCGCGCCTGATGCGCTTCTCCAGCCTGCGGTCGCCACATGTCGCTCGTCGATCCTGCAGCGCTCCTCCGTACGTCGGCCGACATGTGGCGGCGATTCCTCCTCTCTCTTTTTGCGTTTTTTTCCAATTTTCCAGAAACGTGAGTTTTGGAGTTTTCGATCCATTTTCTTCTTATTTTTATATCTTTCAATCCATAATCCGAATCAACAAGTTCTCTTCACGAGTATTATAGATGTCATATTCTATTTCTACAATATATTTTTCTTGTATTTTTTTTGGTAATCACAGGTCTTATTATTTGAGTTCGAATTTGGGGAAAAACACGAGTTCTTACCGAAAATAACGTTTTCTTGAAACTCCAATGTTCGTCCAGAAACTTCAAAAGACCGGTGTGAATCTTATTTTTGTTACATACCTCAAAAACTCCAGATCTAATGCTCATGAAATTTCTTAGATCTAGATAAAATCGAAAGGAATGAGTGGATCCACCACCCAAACTTCTTTTCTAGCACCGAGAGGAGTATTGCTTCGAAGTTTCTTACCTTGGATTAGATCTCCAACAACAATTTGTCTTCTCTACTATTCCTCTGTCCCAAACCCTTAACTTCTTCTCCTTTCTCCTTTCTCCTTTCTCCTTTCTCTCTCTCTTTTTCTTTTCTTTCTTTTTCTCCTCTTTTTAGAGCCCAAACAACTAGACCCTTTCTAAGAGACTCTTTGTAAGAGGCCCTTTTGCCCATATGTTGTTATTTTATTTATTTATTTATTTATAAAAAAATTCGAGTATTACTTCTTATCTATTTTTCTTTCTGTCTTATCTATTTTATTTTTATTTTCGGTTCAATGCCAAGAAAATATGATAAATATAGTCAAGAAAACTATTTATAACACTTCCTTAATGTGCTTGAGATAATTTGTGCTAATTATGGAGAAAATATAGAAAATCAAACAGTCTCATTTGTGGTTTCCTTTATTTTTTAATTAAAATTAGGACTTTGTTTTTCATCTCAATCAAAAATAGCAAATAAAAAAGAATTGATATTTATAACTATGCAACACATAGGGATATCCAAACTCAAAACTCTCATAGCATTTAATCTTTTGCATCGATATTAACCTTAAATTACCTTCCCAAAGAGGATTAAGAGCTTGTTCAACACAAGTTTTTTTTGGGTGTATAATGAACAAAAACCCAAATGGCTAAGCAACAAAAGAGCCTCAAGTATCTAAAGAAAAATTGAAGGATCCATTATTATTAATACACGTTTTGCAGGATCCAAGATACAAGCTATAGGGAGCAAAGAGCAAGAACCATGAAACGAATGACAAGTGGCTATTTACAATTATCAAACAAGCTAAGTTTTAAATGTTCATTGCAAGTCAAGAGATGACGTTTGAGCGAAACCATTTTGGACATGCATGCCCGATTCAACTGGAGCTTCACAATGAACTTTTAGCGTACGACTTTATTTTGGTGCAACTTTAATTGTTAGAATGGACATGCTTCATTTGAGGATTTTGGTCTGGGAACTAGTATTAGCTTTCTCCACGGTGTGACTTTAAAAACTGCATTTAGATAGCATTTGATGATGGATTTTACTTGAGAAATATTCCTTCGGATATCTTTGAATTATACACCCTTGGGAAAAATGAAATAAAATCCTCGAACCACAAAAACCTGTTTTTTTTTTCTTTTATGTTGGATTGCTCACCCATGTAGTAATTCAACATAGTGTTGTTGACCTAAGATTTTGTATATTTGAAATCTACAGTAGTGAGAGGAATCTTTTGGGATATCAGAATTCTTTTAATGTTTATAATTTGGTCGGGATTTGAGCTTCTAATTGCAATGACTCATACCCAAGATTCGAAATATGAATTTGGTACTCAATGGCCCTAGGATTCCCGTGATGATATGGTCAGGTTACTTACTCCTTGCTTCTAATAGTAAAAACTATGAACGCAAACCAACATGAGTCCTTCTAACATGTTTTGTCCTCAATCACGTCTTTGCTACAAAAATTCTCAAAAGGTCACCCATCATAAAATTGCTCTAGTTGAATTCGGAGTTCCTATAGTTGAAACACCAAAAAGGAAAGTGCACCTCTTTGATATAGGTAGTAACTTTCAACTCTTTTTCAGATTTTCTCATTCATCTATACTCTGGATTGCTTTCCTTCGAATGTCATCTTTACTCATTCATGTGCTCTCTTTGTCCGAGACTAGAGGCCACCCCTATGATGATAGAGATAGATAGGTCCCTAAATAATGATTGTTTGTGTTTTCATTTGCATGGCTCCCTATAGTGGGGCCACTTACTTAGCATTCTTTGAAATACTCAAGCCGTGTGCCACATTATTTTTCAGATCAAGGCAAGGTGCACTTTTACGGAGGACGGCTGCTTCACGAGCAGAGACTGTGGCACGTGGATAGGGTAGATTCATATTTAAATTTCTAGGTTTAGGTTAGAATAGGTTGTTATGCATTTCATTGTTTTAAATTATTTTGTATTGCTCTTATTTTCTCTTAATTTCAGTATTTCGTATTTAAATACGTAAGGACATGGGTGCGTTTTCCAGAGAATAGTTGTTTTAAGCGTTTTTCGAAGTTTATGTAATAAANATATAGTCAAGAGAACCATTTATAACACTGGTTAATGTGCTTGAGATAATTTGTGCTAATTAAGGAGAAAATATAGAAAATCAAACAGTCTCATTTGTGGTTTCCTTTATTTTTTTAATTAAAATTAAAGAATTGATATTTATAACTATGCGACACATACGGATATCCAAACTCAAAACTCTCATAGCATTTAATCTTTTGCATGGATATTAACCTTAAATTACCTTCCCAAAGAGGATTAAGAGCTTGTTCC